CAATGAATTTTCATATAAAGTGAAATGTTTAAATGAACACGCCCTGCATGGATGGAAAAAAAAACCCCTGTTGTTCCTAGTTATTTAATAACATCTGAAGCATATTTTAATTTTAAACAACTTGTATCCAATTTTGCACTTTTACTATAAATAAAAAACTGTATAATTTAACGACTTTTTAGTCATGATGTTTTATAACAGAGAGGCAGCACAGTGTGTGATCCTACTGAACAGGACTGCTGAAACTTAAATTTGTACATGCAAAAGAAATATATAAATGCATAATAACGCACAACAATTTTCAATGCAACTACAGTGTGATTGTGTGTGACAGAAAGATAGCCATTATGCCAGAGGCCAGAGGACAAGACACTGTGATCGAGCCTGCTGAGGATCCTCAGATGCAGAGAGAGAAGGGCAAAGGAACAACACCAGAGCAGAGAGAGAAGTGGGCCAACAAGACCGAGTTTCTGCTGTCCATGGCTGGTGAAATCATTGGCCTGGGCAATGTATGGCGCTTTCCCTATCTCTGCTACAAGAATGGAGGAGGTGAGGCTGTGAGAGAGAGAGAGAGAGAGAGAGAGGGTCAGGGGCAGGAGAGAGGATGTCTGGGTTTTGTGTTTTGTATTCTTTTGTGCTAATGCACAGGATTAATATCCAAGATACAGCAAATGAAAGCAGGCTTAAACAGACCAGTAAATGGGCTTCACATATGTCAGTGAGTCTTTTGAAATGCTCATGCTGAAGAATAGTGCATGCCCAAACAGAGTCATGAACTTCTTAAACAAAACACTCCTTTTTCTTTAGTTGCTGAAGTGTGGAAACGGAACCCTCTAAGCCAGGCTTTTTAAATATCATATCTTTTTGTTAAAAATAATGAGCTGAATGTTATTTCTGTTTATTTTGCTGTATTCAGTTCTGTGCTCTATAGCAGAAAAAAATCCACACAGATAACCCTAAGCTCGCTTGTATCCATGTGTAGGTGTATTCTTCATCCCTTACTTTGTCTTCCTCATCTTCTGTGGCATCCCTGTCTTTTTCCTGGAGACTGCATTGGGTCAATACACCAGTGAAGGAGGGATCACAGCCTGGAGGAAGATATGTCCTATGTTTGAAGGTAATTTCTCTTAACTGTCTTTCTTCTTTCTCTTTTTTAAAATTTGATTGACAGGGTGACACTGTGATGCAGTGGCTAGTGTTGCTGCCTCACAGCTGCAGGGTTCCCAGTTTAAACCTGAGCTCTGTGTGATGTTTCTCTGCATGTTTTCCCACTCGTTTGTATTTCCTTTGCATTCTCCGGATTCCTCCTACCTAATAAAAACAAGCTAATAGGTGATCTGGCAACCCTAAATTGCCCACTGGAGTTGCCCCTACCACATCTAGGGTGTGTAAATATAGGATGTATTCCTGCTCAATGATTTTGTGATAGGTTCCAGAGAAACCAAAACCATGACCAGGATGAGGTGATTACTGAAGAGGAATGAATGACTTTAAAGTGACCTGTATGAAGTGCTGTATACATAAATAGAAGAATAGAATATGTCTTAGTTTACCATCATACTAAAAAGCCTAATTTATTTTTAATCCTCTGGTTCTGTTGTGGATCAGTTATGTACTGTCATTTGTGCTGTCACTCATAGTGTCCTATAATTTACGTATATATATTGTATTGCGCTGTATTCACCATTCTACTCAGACTATATTCAGTGTTTATAGCTTATACTCTTTTGCACTACTTGCACATAATGTAAATGTATTTTATTGAGCCTTGGTGGTTCGTTCCAGTGCCTACATGTGAAGTAGCCTACCTTTTAGAATAAATTTAGTATATCAGACTTTTTTAAATTTTTGCCAGACCACCTGACTGACTAACAGACTGACAGTCAGACTGACTGACCGAGTCTCATTGTTGAAACGCGCATGCAAGAAAAATCATTGGAAAAAAGGGAATATATGGTCGGTCAGATTTAAGAGAACATATTGGGTATAGTTTACATAAAAACATTAAGTTCCTCACCAAAACTACTAAATTTAATTTAAACAAGTTTCTAATTTCTAGTTTGAATTATGTGGAGTGAATATGATTAATTCAAGTAATAGTAATGTGAGCCAATGACGTTGTGGGGATACTGCATGGGGATATTACCCGTGATGGAAAGAAATAAGTGATTAAACTAAATTTTGCTGCCGCAGCATTGGTTCTGTGCTGGCGTGAGCGAGTTTATTCATCCATCTGTCCATTTTCCTGTACATGGGGTTGAGGGGAGCCTGGAGCCTGTTCCAGGGGACTTGGGGCACAAGGCGGGGGACACCCTGGATGGGGTGCCAACCCATCGCAGGGCGCAATCTCGCACACACACTCACACAATTTAGAGATGCCAATCAGCCTACAAAACATGTCATTGGACTCGGGGAGGAAACTCAAGTACCTGGAGGAAACCCCTGAAGCCCGAACATGCATGCTCCAAGCACACAGGGCGGAGGCGGGAATCGAACCCCCAATGCAACTGTAGAGTGTAATGTAGCACAATTAATTCACATGGAACTGATGTAGGTTTTTTCAGTGCAGCCGAATTTTAATTTTGTGTCCTTGCTTCAGATATTATTGAAGCTAATAACTTATGTTAAATGAAGGGGTAAGAGAATTACTGTGGCATGAATGCAAAAGTGGTTTTATGTTAGACATTTGCTGCACATTTGAGATTCTCTCATCTATATCCAGATTTATCTCCAGAAATAAAGTGGACAGAGTGGCCCACTGGAGTGGACAGAGAACCAAGTACTGTCGAATATTTTTTTTAAAATCTCGCCCGTTAAAGCTCGCTAAAGCTAAACTTTTAGAAATTCAGGTCACCGGCACTTTATAGTAATGGAGTCAGTAAGGGACAGTCTAAAGTGTGCATAACCTGGGCAACTATGTAGGATTCTAATTATTATAGTCATCAACTTTGCAGGATATCTGATGTATTGCAGTATTCGGATACAGTACGGATTCAGTACAGTGGAATGGGATTGCACGAAAGTCTTAAGAAAAGAAGTGCAGTAATAAAATCCAGAAATTGAGATTTCCACATTTGAAGGTTATGGCGAGATTCACTAGAAGTGCAATGTTACATGTTATGAGTTCAGCACTAAATTTTATTCTTGTTTTTTCTTTATTTTACAGCATATATTTTTGTGTTTTCTAATGAGTGATTACACATATAAAGCTCAGTGTTCCACATGATATTCCAGTGTGCACTGAATATCCATAACCGCTTTTCTTTGGTGTCTTCAGGACAGAGGAGTTTACACTTTGGGGATTTGATGCTTTATATTAATGTATCAGTTTGAAAACCGGTCATCCCTAGTTCACAAAGACCGCACTGACAATAAACGCACAAAATGAAATGTGTGGTGACTCAAGGGTTTTGCCAAATTCTCCAGGTGTTCCATCACAGTTCTCCCTTTTTCCTTTACGGTTAGGTGACAGGTATGAGAATATGGGGTCTGCGCTTAGCTAGTTAGCTTTATAATGTTTGTCACATTTCAGTGTAGATAACATTAGCTAGTAAGCAGTGAATGATTCGTATGTATCTGCTGAGTTTGTTTGCAAGTATCCGACTTCCGTGTCATTTACCGATAGTCGCAGAGAGTAGAGGTAGATGTAGTAGCTAAAGTTGTTTCGTTTCATAAGGGTGTATGTCCATGCTTAAAATATGATTGTAGTGAATCGCTTATGTTTAATGAAGGGACATGAGGATGTACTGTGGCATGAATGCATTTGTAACTGCATACTGGCTGTATTTATCTCAACTGTTTCACATAACAGAAGCCACATGTAAAAGAAATAAAAAAATAAATAAAAATTAAATAAAAATCAAAAAATCTTCAAAACCAAAAATATACCATATTTGCATGATACTCTAATTTAAATCTATGCTCTACATTTCCAGGCTCTGAGAAAAAGCCCTGTGTCGTTTATTAGGCAGGGTCAAATGAAGTGATGCATGAAACATAATAAATGCCATATTTTATGCCACAGCACCCCTTTCGAAACACAGGGCATTACCCAAAACTCTACATTATGTCTCAAGGACTTCTAATAAGAAGGATATCTTTTAGACCTAGCATACATGACTGCCTCCCTGTTGTTGAAATGCCATTGGCACTTGTATGAAAAAATGCTATGGAACCGTCTGGCAAACTATACATGGCTAAACTTGTTTTTAAACTTGTGGTGTTGACAGGAATAGGTGTAGCATCTCAGGTTATTGTCATCTACCTGAATATCTACTACATTGTGGTTCTTGCCTGGGCGGTCTTCTACCTCTTCAGCTGTTTCCAGACCACATTGCCTTGGATCTCCTGTGCCCACGAATGGAACACAGGTATAACTTCTTTACATTAAAAAAAAACCTCAAAAAGATTTTGTTTGTGGGCAATGGTGGTTCGATGGTTAGGGCTCAGAAGGTCACGGACCCAGCATCGCCAAGCTGCCACTGTTAGGCCCTTGAGCAAGTCTTGTAACCCTCTCTGCTCCAGGGGTGCTGTGCCATGGCTGACCATGTGCTCTGACCCCGAATTCCTAACAAGCTGACACATTGAACACATAAAGGCTTCTCATCTCTCTTCAATACTACAGGACTTTTCAGCTTGACCACTATCTGAAGTGTATCAGCAATTAGTGATAAAGTAGTAAATATGTTTATAAAAAACATTTAAACCAAAGTGCTGTACTCACAGCAATTTCAACATGCATAAAGAGAAATATAAAACAGACACAATAGTCACAGGCATCCACGTTAAATAGTTAAAAAGCTAGCATATAAAGTATGTTGGTCTTGTTTTAAAAACTGTAAACTAATGTCCAGTGGTAAGTAAGCAGTTCCACAGCCTTAGCAAAAGTTCAAAGGACCTGCTCTGGACAACAGAGTTGATTTAATATCATCAAATCCGAGGTCAGTGTCAAAAATCACCCCCAGGTTCGTGACATGAGGTTAAAGTTTATTTACTCTGGGTCCTGGGGGACTAGTGGTTAGACTTTGGCGCTCTCACAGCCATGGCCTGGGTTCAATTCCCAGCCAGGGAACCGACCTCATCCACTGGGGTTGCACACGACAGTGCCCTCCAAGTGCCGGTCCCAAGCCCAGATAAAACTGGGGAGGATTGCATCAGGAATGGCATCCTGCCTAAAAACTGTGCCAAATCAAATATGCGGACCAGTGATCCGCTGTGGCGTCCCCTAACAGGAGCAGCCGGAAGAAGAAGAAGAAGTCTGTGGTAATAATCAGGTTTATTTATTTATTTATTTATTCCTTTATATGAAGTATAACTTTATAAAGTTGAGGTATCTAAAAGTTATTTACACTATATACTGTATATGTGACAGTAGTTATCTAATGCTACTGAATGGTGAAACAGTGGAATCTAAGTATCTAGGTGAAGAGTGAAGGGTTAAAGGCTTTGCTCAAGGACTAAATAGTAGCTCTTTCACAGTGCTAAAGCTGACGACTTTTTCACCACCGAACTACAACTGCCCAAAACATGGTAGAGACATTCATATTTTTCAGTGTCATTTGACACTGGATTTCTGGGTAGGAACTTGTATAAGTCTGTACATGTCTGTTCCTAATGACTAGGCTGCAGGACTGTGATCCATTTTATGATCTACACACAATGGTACACACAATCTGCACACTATATACTGAAATAGGCATCGAGTTTGCACAAGAGAAAAAAATAACTGGTTAGATCCCAGATCAGTAATCCTACTTTTGTTTAGTATTTGTATAACTATTTTCAATCTCACTGGAGGTTTCCATTGTCCACAGAATCTTGTCACGTGTATAACAAAAGCCTGCACAGGGCAGATGCTGACTGGTCCTTCCTGTACAATGAAACCTATGACTACAGGTAAATACATCCGTACCTGAGAACACACAATTAAGCTTACAGTCTACTGTGTTCATCCAACATTTCTGATAAAGCTATACATGGAGTGGAATCCTGTAGATCTATCTATCTAGATTTCAAATTCTTTTAAATATTATTTGGCCTATACTAGATTATTATTATTATTATTATTATTATTATTATTATTATTATTATTATTATTATTAGCAAGCTAGAAAGTGTTAGTTTTAGTGATTTACCATGCAAATTGAAAATTAAACAAACAAGTTTACAAAGAACCAATATTATAATTTTAGCACAAACCTAATGTTTCAGAATCCCCTTTTCCCCCTACCCATTTTCATTTTTCATCATTGATGTATAGCTTAATTTTACATGTCCTTTGCTACTGGAGATCCACATAAAATCCCTGATCTTCAGGTCATTTTCATGCAAGAACCATTAAGATTGATTTATTGATTGATTTATTATTGGGTTTATATTATATGGGTTTATTTAATTAATCCGAATCCCAAGTGGCTTCCCGTTCACTATATACGCTTACTACATAGGCCGTTCTAAAAGCTAATGCACTGTGTGTGCTCACTCCATTTGCGATTCATACAGAAGAAGTGACTCTAAATTGAATCTGTTGGAAAATTGCTAACTATATATTTACAAACCTTTAAGAAAGAATTGTTTTGTAGCTTAATTTTTGTTTTGTTTTGTTTTATTTATGGACTTACGTGCATCCTGTTTACTACAGCAGAAGTTTCAACTTCTCTGCATCTTACAAGGTTGTCTCTCCAGAGGAGGAATTCTGGCTGTAAGTTCAATTATAAAATCACACTTTTGAGAACTTTGTTCTAAGAAATGTCAAAAGGGAAAAAAAGAGAAAAACCCTGAGAGCCCAGGGTAAGTGGCCTCTTCTCTGCACTAGAAAGTCAAATTCCTTTTTGGTGGAGATGTGGGAAAGGAGCGTAGGAATAATAGGGTACAGGGAGGATGCAGGGAAGTAGAGGGGGTAAAAACGTGTCAAAGAGAACTCTGGAGGCAAGTGGGGAATATATTAACTATGAGGGAGGAGTTTCTATTTCACAACTCTGTTTTGTTAAAAAGAATCATGCAACTATGTAGCCATGAGCCAAGACAAACAAATGCACATCTAGAATAAAAACGACTAAATCCCTCTTTAGAAATCTGATCTAAGGCTTGTTAATTATATGTTTAGTTAATAATGTAATAAGCATTAGTAATGGAACAACCAGGACAGGTTTAGAGTGATGTTAGTAAACATGAACAGCATAAATATACAAAACCTTTTTCAGTTTTGTTTCCATATATCTTTAATAATGATTTATACAACCTTCATTCTTTCAAAGAATGGAAACGGGTTGATGGACGCTCTAAATCTAATAGACAGAAAGATTTAAGACACGCAGACAGGGTGAGTTGAACTTTAGAACTGAGTAATTCCCAAAGGTATATTTAAATCATGGTTCCCTTCCAAAATCCTTCTTAAACACACTTCTTTTTCCTTTTCGCCTTAGAAAAGAATGCACATTTTACATTCCTGGTCGTACATATGGTTAGGAAATGGGGGTATTACTACAGCACAGCTTGATGAGAAAGGCATGTTTATCTGTTGCAGCTCTGAACTAAAACCCTCAAAACTAAACTTGGGAAGTGAAACATCTGTATCCATCACGCTATTATACATTTGTTTACAATTTGGGGATGGCGACATTTGACATGTATATAAACCAACATGTCCACCTTGTTCCATTTCAGAGCAGAACATTTAGGCAGAATTATAAAGTTGAACCAGAATTTGGGACAGTTGAATCTGTGAAGCGTTTAATTATGACCGCCACCTATGTCTACTACATGCTCTAATAGAGAGAATGCTGCTGTGGAAGTTTGTTTTTTCCAAGCAACTATGTGTGTGTGTGTGTGTGTGTGTGTGTGTGTGTGTGTGTGTGTTTCCTCAGTCATCGCGTGCAGAGGATATCCAGCAGTGATTTCCTGGGCCCACCGCACTATGACCTGACACTCTGTCTTTTGCTGGTCTGGATTATCTGTTACTTTTGCATCTGGAAAGGAGTCAAGACCACAGGCAAGGTAAACACACACACACACACACAGTGACGCTGAGCATGAACATTAACCCCAATTATGATGGAAGTGTACGTCAAACAGATACTTGAAACCCTGATTACACTTTGTGAAATGTCATGTTTGTAAAATGTTAAAGATTACATTATATATAGAAGTTTTCAGGTAATATGCGTGGAAGTGGGTAACATTAACTGGCATTAGTTAGCTAGCCAAATATCAGTACAGTAACATGTGTTTTGGTATATTCTCATACATTTTTCTTTTGGACTAAATTGTCCCTCTCAAAGGGCATCTGTGCAAAATTGCACACAATGGTATTCAAACCTCAGACATAACTACAGACCTAAGCGGTATTCATATTTTGCAGAGGATTTGCATGCATGGGTTGGAGTTTGACAAAAACAGAGGCATGCCGCAGTTACAGCATGGGACTGGACTGTAGAATATTATTACAAATATCATAGTAATTATGCGTGATGTGTCTCTCCAAGGTGGTCTACTTCACAGCCACGTTCCCATATGTCATGCTGCTGATTCTGTTCTTCCGAGGAGTCACTCTACCTGGTGCTGGGGTGGGAATCAGCTATTACCTGTACCCTGATATCTCCAAACTCTCCAATCCTGACGTAAGTGTGTGTATGTAAATGAGCATGAGGGTTTGGTTCTGGTTTGGTTTTGGTTTTGTTTCATTGTACTGCTTCAGAGACACATCTGAGAGGACGCTTGAAGTAGCAGGGGCAGTTTACAGTAGGAGTCAAAAAAATGATCTGGGATCAATTCTTTCTGTGTGCACTTACATCTGGACTACATTATCAGTATGGACATAGAAACAAATCTCGCTTTACACAGATGACTGATTGTAATTATACTTCATTCAATCTAAGAAAATTTTAGTGTTTAAACATTATATTATATGGCCACATTGAAGGTACAGTGCATAATATGTTTACATGTCATAATCATACAGTTTCAAGGATTTTTCCAGCCCAGAAATTAGCTCTGGCCCCAGCCAGACCAGCAGATCAGCCTTGCTCATATGTATCCCTCATGAAATGCAATTTATGAGAGATACATATTTTCTACAGAGCATTGACTTGGGAAAAACCAAAGATTTATCAGTGTTTTTGTCATTTCAGTGCACTTCACAGACAGCAGAGGGCTCAAATAGCAAACTACTTCTTTAAATTAAAATGTGTCACTAACAGCACTTACTTATTTGAGTCCTAGCTTCTGTACATTTCTTATGGCTTCTGTCAGAGATATGAGATTATGACATATCACATTATATATCAATGAATGCTGAATGCTGACCACTGTTATTGATGTTGGCTGTGTTTCATCACTCCTTGTTGACTTCCTATGTCAAACACACTACGACTTGGACTGTATTAGGGCTCATTTTGGTCCTGTGGTTTTTCTCACTCATTTATTTCTGTGCTTCCTCTGACCATCGTTGTCCACACTGTATTGCCAGACATGCATTCACACGGAAAATACAGACCTTCTTTTTAGATGAGACTTGCATGTTTTGAACAGTCTAATGCCACACAACATTCTCTTTGTTCCAGTTCTTCATGAGAGAACTCTTAGTGTTAGTCATAGACCACACACCCGTCTGTGCTGGACGTTTTCTTTTTGTTCCATGTGGTCTTATTTCTGAAGTCAATAAAATTAATGCTAACAGGGAAATAGAGAAAAATGCACAGGAAAGGGTGTGGTGGTGATTATCCTTTGTATGTTTTGTATCTATTGCTCTGAGGCAGGAAGCACTGTTTAGGGTGCTGAAGTGAAGACAGGAATACATTCGTGGTCTGATAAATAGCAATTACGTTAAAAGAGAGGGGAGACAGAGAAAGGCTGAGTAACAGGGACAGAGAATGAACATTAAATAGACAAGGAATTACTTGTGTTGCAAGAGCACCTGCAATGCTGACCTTTGTGGTTGTGTTACATAGAAACTGGAAACAATCTGAGCAGAAATGTAGTGGGATGCTGGGAAATTGAAGTTCATTACACCATCATCATCTCATCTTTATGCAGGAAAATATTGTTGACCTTCACATGGTCAAATTTGGACAT